TTAGGGTTTTCCGCCAATTCAAGTTTTTAGTGGCCAATTTTTCATCAATTTAGTCAACTCTTTATTGTAGTCCATATATGATTATATACTTAATCCATGATAATTCTATGATTTCTTTATGTGATGAAAATTTAATGGTCAACATAAGTTCATACAGGGAAAGAACATCTCAATATTCATAAGTTGATGAAAACAATGAAAGTTAATAATGTAGTACCCCAATTTCTTATTAGATTCTTAAAAAAAAATATTTATAATGAATTTTAATAATTTTTTTGGATTTTTTTAAGGCTTAATCCAAGCGATTTGGCCCGATTCCCTATCCGGATAGCTGATTACTGATCCGGATTGGTTTTTGGGATGCCTGATACGGGTCACCAATCCGTTTTTTAAACCATGACTTACAACCATTTGATGTGTGAAATTTGATAGCTTGCATGTGTCACAAAGGCCAATCAAATTTCTTTTGAAGTTTGAGCTTGGTCCATGGAATAATTGCAACCACCCAACTTTACATCCAATGATCAAGATTATTGTGACCACCTTATATTAAAAGTAAATAGTTTCATTTTATACTTTCCCATAAAAAAATGACAACAATAAATTTCATAAGAGTAAAGAAGCCTAATACATCCGTTGGCACATTGGCTCTCACAACAATACCTTAACCCTCCTCCCACTTACTCCATCGATTACCTTCCTCTCCACCTAAAAATCTCAATATATTCCCATAATATCAATACAAACTCAAAATAAAATCCCACTCCCAAATAATATTAATCTCACTGATAACAGCAACAACAGGAAGACAACATTTAACTGCAAAAATATATCACCAAGATACTAGAGAGAGAGAGAGTTAAGTTAGAGCTCGGAATGGATGGGAGGAGATGGGTGGGGTCTTGTGTCGTAGCGTAGGCAGTCGGCGGAGGGATGAACGATGCCGTAGTTGTATCCGACGGCGGAGTGGCAGAAAGTCTGTACATTGCCGTCTCCATTGTCTCTCTGCAGGTTTACGTTTGAGAGGATGATGTTGCTGCAGGGGACTGTATCACTGCATGCAAACTTCATGGCGTTGGGTGTCTTTGACGTCCCACTAACATTTATGTACATCACTTGGCTTATGTTCACTGCAGATGTCTAAATGGAGGCACCAACAAGAGGCAAATGAGAGCGCAAATAGAGGTTATCTTCAAGGAAGAAGCCCATATTTTTATTTTGGAAAAATTACTTACGGACATTAAAATTAAAGGAAAAATATAGAAAGATCATTATTTTACCAAAAATTATGCTGAACGTAGTTTCTCTGCATTTTTTTTTCTACTTTGCACTTTGCCTCTCAATCTCATGTTACCAACATCAGATCCCTTCTTTTTTTTTCATTTTTTTTTTTGAACGTAGGCTTGTGTCTTGTGTTTTAGGGCACTTCAAGACCGGTTTGAGGTCTTAATTATTAGACCCCTCTTAAATGGACAGTCTGATGAACACATCAGTCGGTCTAAAATTCTTAGTCTAGTACACAGTCGGATGTTTGGGACCTTGGATTGGTGTCACTGTAGCCTAACGGCCAAAAGCAAAGCAGTCTTGGTAGGCCTAAGGCCTAAGTTCCAAACCTTTCCAATACTTAGGATTTTGGTCGTGTCTCGTAATGCCTTAAAACACATGGTAAAACCTCACATTTGAAAAAAAACAAAACAAAATAAAAAATCGATCTCATGTAGGCAACATCGGATCGAGGAGCAAATTGGAAAGAAAACATGGGGACAGACCCTCCGCCAAACTTTTGGGACAATATGGATCTCTTTATATTTTCTGGTTTTGTTTTGTGCATGTACGTAATTTTACTTTTAATTTTTTTTCATTTTATTTTAATGTAGTTAATTAAAAATAAATAAATCCAATCTTCACATCCCAATCAATACACATATATTCAGGCAAAAAAGAAAGAATAAGCATTCAATCATGAGTTGATGTTGCTCACCTGATTTTGACATGGAATTGAAGAATCACAATAGAATTGATCAATGATAATGGGGTTTGAGACTTGGTTCATCTTCACGTTCTTAAATCGAATTGCTCGGGCATATCCCGAGCCGCCCTGCAACCAAAAGCCCACCGAGATGATGAACAACCATGGAATTCAAATTATGTTAACTACGTATGCATGTAAACATGCATACACACGTGTGCATGTATGGGTATATATATATATATATATGGAAGCCACTTCTCAAGGTCTATGGGAAAAAATGAGTAGTGTTTTCATCTGTGCTGTCTGATTTTCTCGGATGGCATGGATAAATCAACTGTACTGAGCATACTATGTTCGTTGCGGTACAAACGATTTTTTACATGAAAAACATGGAAAACCGTAATGACTCTACAAAAGCCGACTTTTCAGGCAAACCACAATGAGAGACATTGCAGGAGGAAATACACTATAAAAGATTAATGATTGAGATTTTGAGCTCATACAATACAATAAGACCTACTTACTTATATCATGATATGAGATATAAAGTTAAGAATCAACTTATGTAATAGAGCCGGGCAATCAAGCATAGCCCTCTCTTCTTCAAAAATCACCATTAAGATAAGATGCACACATATATGATAGAAGATGCTTCTTATTTGTTACTACAAGGATTTAATTCCACCCCTTTTGAAATGACAATAAAATACCTGCCATGTCTTGATCCTGAGGCCATTTGTGGTCCCTGTTAAGGTAGCTGTTTCCAGCACCACATTCGAAACCACAGCCAACGAATTGTCCTTTCCAAGACTCCCAATGCTGTATAATCATCATATTTATTGTTACAATGAAACAAAATAAAACAATTAGTTAACTCTGAATAAAGGTACGAAAGCAAAATCATCTTCATCATCATTTAAACTTTAATAAATAAATAGAAAAATTACCGGCCAAACTACCTCAAATGTACGATGAGGTAGTTAAACCAACTTCCCACTAAAGTAGTTATTAAAATTATTTCAGTTCACTTATATATTTTTCATGTGCTTTCAATTTATTATACAACTCCTCTGTCAGAAAATACTGAAAATTGCCTCCATTTCAGGTTTGGAAAATGGAACAAGCGATGCCATTTTTGATAATTTAGCTAGTTATTTGCATTCAATGGCTTAGCTCGATGTAGGTTCCAAAAAAGGAAAATATTTTCTAATAAAAAGAACTTTTCAGTTTTGGAAAAGAGAAGAAGCAAAGGTACACAATCTATTTTAGCTCAAGTTGGCTAAATTATCAAAGGACCCGGTTTCTATGCGGTCAAGCCTTCATATGTGGAAATACGAGCCTCTTATTAAATCTATTTTTTAGACTGATTTTAAGACTTAATTTTTAAGGACATGTAATCTCTAACATGATCTTATGGAGATCATGAATATAAAAAAGAAATAAATTTTAAAAATTAGAAATAATAATTCTGGTAAGAAAACATTTGGACCATTAATTTCCATTATTTTTAGATGGAACACCTACTTGCATCCATATTTAAGATGGATGGTTTACTCGAACCTGCATGAACCAATTTTCCATTATCAAAATGCCTCTATTAGTTTTGGGCTCCAAACCGAAAGCAAGATGTTTTAATAAAAAATACGCTTCGAGTTTGGACCTGTAATATTCAAAGGTATTCAGTTCATTTGGCACAAGTAACTTTTCTAAATCAAATTACCGAAGTGCCCTCAGTTTTTCAAGAATTCAAACCTGGTACAAACGAACTTTGGGAAGTTTTTAACAAATCTTTTGTTGAAGTACCTAAATGAAATGATTATGAAAGGTATACATTTTATTGGTAAAAGTATTGATTTATCCACATTATTGAATTTTTTTTAGGTAAATGAAATGATTATAAAAGCAATACACTGTATTGGTAAAAGTATCGATTTATCCACGTTATTGAATTTTTATTTAGGTGGTTTGATCATTTGAATGATGTTTTACCATAAATTATTTCCTCTCTCCCTCTCTAAAGTATTCCCTTTAAGTTATGGGAAAAGTTTATATAAGGATGCAACTTTAAAATGTAGAATTACCTCAAAAAACCATTGGAAAAGGTTGTTTTAATATTGAAAGACTCTCTAATTGATCATCTCAACATCAAGATGTATGAATGTATAAAAAAAAAGATTTTGAGTCTTAAAAATAGTGCATCTTGCAGCACATTATCTAGACCATCCATTTTCAAGATTTTCATATTTTTATAGATCTACATGATTTTAACAATTTTTTAATTTTAAAATTTTAAAATTAAATATGAAAATACAGCTTTTGATAGTCCTAAGAATTTTTTACACTAAAATTATATGTTATGATAAAATTTGGAGGTACACCTTAATTGGATTGTTTAAGGTTGCAACCTCATAGAAACCGCACCCTTCAGTTATTCAATTGGATGGTAATCTTAAGTTTTCATGCCCTATAAGCCTAGTGGTAACCGGTTTTTAGTAAGGAAGCTCAAGGTTTCTCTCTCTTAACTATCCAATTGGCAGGTCATGTCCCCAGAATAGGTATTTTTTTCTTTCTTTCTTGTCCTTTGAGCCTAGTGGTTCAGTTTTAGGTAAGGGACCTTAGGTTAACCAAATATGATATACCATTTTGGTCCCTTGGAGCAAAAGATCACTCCTGAAGTTTGTCTCTAGAAAAAACAAAAAGCACAAACTCCATTTTTTCCCTTTTTTTTTTTTTTAAGGGTGGGGAAGCAAAGTTGATTCCTATAGTTGAATTACTAAAAACAAAAAATATAAACTTTTAATGCATGTTTTCCTATATAAAGTTCTATCATAAAGTTCTTTTTTTATTTTTTGGGTAAAAAAGTGAGAAGTAATTCTTACCTATAGTAGGAATGAAACTCTAAATGATATATTTTGATGGCTTTCGTGGGTGTCATAGAAGTTGTTGAACCAAAATTTCTAGAAGCCATGGTAAGTCGTGGCTTTCAAAATAGTATCACACTTCTCATGGTATAGTTGGTAGGAGCTGCATTGTCCACCAATCAAATGCGCCTAAAAGATTCCAGTTGTAAGTGGGAGAGCGCATATACTTTTGTAACGCTCGCATTTGTCTCTTGAAAATCGTCCTTCTATTCAAAGATCAAAATATTTTAATTGTATTCTTCTATTCTTGAAAATGGGCTGGGCTTGGACTAGCTCAGGTTGGGCTTGGCGCTCGCTTGATCCTGACCCCAACGGGGCCAACACATGCCCAGCCCTGCCCTGACCAAAGAGGGCCTAGCCTAGGCCCAATCTTAGCATAATAAGGTCGACCCAGGTTAGATAGAATGAAATAAATAAAATTTTAAAAAGAAAGAAAAACAGGGCCAAATGAAGCTGGCCCTGTCATGGGCCCTGCCCTAGCCAGGCCAGGCGTGATTCCGGCCACATGTTGTGGCCCAAACCCTATCTTCTAGGTCCTTATAAGTCCAATCTTCCACCAATTGCTAACCCTACAATTCACCCATTGGTGATTCCATGAAACCTTGTTGTCATATCTTTTATTTAAATATAAAATAGGGCTAGTTTCTATTTTTAGAAAAATATATTTTAAAGGGTATGAAAACTTTTTATAAAATCATTAAAGGGATGAAAAATCTCACTTGAAAATGAAGTGCTTACTTTTTAATGTTCATTTCATTGGGTACTTCTTCAAAAGCATCTTAAATATTTTCAAGTTGTTCCTATTGACCATTGGGATCCTACTTTTTCAATAATTTGACCCACGAAAAGGGGCCCAAATAAATGACTGGAGTACCCTTGCTTGTTTTTTGGTTCGTAAAATTGTTCAAATAGAGTACCCCGTCTTAATCTTTCTAAAATGGAAAAAATTCATATAAAGTTGTAATCTTAAAATGTAGAATTACAGCATCTTAAAATCCATAAAAAAATGTTGTTTTAATGTTGAAAACCCCTCTAATTGATCATCTCAACATCGAGATGTACGAATATGGGAAAAAAAAATTTTTTGAGTCCCAGAAATAATGTATCTTGTAACATATTATCTAAACCGTCCATTTTCAAGATTTTCAAATATTTGTAAATCTACTCGATTTTAACTATTTTTATTATTGAAAATTTTATAATCATATATGAAATTAGATTTTCATATAATCTTAGTAATATTTTACACAAAAAATGTATGTTATGATAAAATTTGGAGATGCGCTTTAATTGGATTGTTTAAGGTTGGAGCCTTATAGAAACCACACCCTTCTAAAATTCATCTCGCTATTAACTCTTAAAGTGTGTCTCTCTCTCATTCCAAATTCCTAATATTTTGGCGGAATTGAGGGGTTGGTCCAGTTCCGTCAAAATATCAAGAACCCGGTGGTTTTGTCAAAAATCCGGTACTAATTTTAATTTTTATTTTTTTCAAATTATCCTCTAAATATTTTAATTTTTATTGATAGGTTCATTAGGTCATTCAAAAGTACCTTATTCCATGTCCTGGTCCACACTCAATGTTTTTCATCTTGATATTTGTGCTTCCGTTCACTATTGAAATGCAATCATCCCCTGGAAACATTACAGTATGTTATGTAACTTCAGTATCATTCAAACATAATATTAATGACCAATTCATTTTCATAGGAACACCATTAAATAAATAAAAAAATACTATGTTTGTCAGTTGTGTTTGTGTGCATGTATTAGTTAAAAGGACTAGACTAGACCATTTGATTTGTGATCTGACCTGTTGGACCGTTGACTCCTGCCTTGGCCAATTTGGTCCAAAGCAACAATCAAATTTGGTGGAAAACCCAACTATACTGATGTTTGATGCATTATGGCCTATTGGACCAACTAAACAATGTTAGAATAAATTTTTTACAATATATTTTATAGTTTTAAAATGTTATTACATTTTTTTTTATTTCCTAAAAGTCCAATCCAAGCAATTCGATTGTAGTCATATTGGTCTTATTTGAACTAGACCCTCACAGGTTTCATGGCCTGTCTGGTTCTGATAACACTATGGTAAAGTGTGTGTTTATTAGCTTAATGTGCTACTCTATATTTTTATGGTTTGTGTTTATTAGGTTAATCAAACCTCAGTACCTTCAAGACCCTCAATTGTGAGGTTTGAAGGATATTCTATGGTTAATAATCTTTCAAATGACTGGAAATGAGCCCAACTCCTAGTACGCTTGTTCTTTAATTTCTTTTTTTTTTGGTAGTTCAGTGGGGATGGGATCCCGAACCCGTGGTAAGAATAAAACTTAAGACATCATATTATAGTGACCCATCATCCTGACTACCTAGCCTTGAGCCCACCCTGTGCACCTAGCCTTGAGCTCATTCCTGATTTGTGTGATGTTCTTTAAGTTTGAAATATGTAGAACATAGATCTTAGGAGGGGAAATCAATAGAGAGTATCGGAAGAAGAAAATATTATACATGTGAAGTGTATGATATAAGATACACAAGCAAGGCATCCCTATTTAGGGCTTGTCAAAAGCGAAAAGACTAGAAGAAAAATAATACCTGTTCCAATTTTGGAATTTTGGATTACAACATTTGTGGAATCGGAAATATGAATTCCGTCGGTGTTGGGACTATAGTCAGGGGCCTGGACTACCATCTTGGACACCCTAACAGCATCTGAGCGCCAAATAGTAAAGTGTATCTGTTGGCTGTTTACCAGCATCAACTCCTCCACCCTTACCCTTGAGCTCGAATCAATGGTCAATGCCTGTGTAAATGGTCCTTCTTGTTATTTTTTTTTTGTTTCTTTGGAGGATATATATTGAACAATTGTTTCAAGCAGGCTGGACCGCATGTGTACAATATGCGGTCCAGTACAAATCCGGTCAAGAGGTACGAAGCATCCATCTTAAAGATGGATGCAAATAGGTGGTATATCTAAAAACAAATGTAACTAACGGTCCAAATGTTTTCTTAATATAATTATTATTTTTAGTTTTTCAAATTTATGATCTCCGTATTAAAGATTATATATTATCGATCAAATTATATTTAAAAAATATATTTATTGCCAAGCCCGCATTTCTATATGTGCGGGCCTGGCCGCATGCTAATCGAGTCCATATATATTGGCTTCTAAGTCCATATTAGTTTCTCATCTTTTTTACAGATATATGGAGGAGAATTTTCCCTTTCTAAGTAAGTAATTTGGGAGGCATTCATCATTTCAAGGATGAAAACAAGTGAGTTACTACATTGGGGCTCCATCAAAACAGGAAAAACATATTGGGATGTCATAAAAAAATGTAGCTCCTTCATGTTTGATTTGAAAATTTGGTTTTTTTAACTTGGCATCTAATTTTCTTTGTAAATACATTCTGTAGAATAAGAGTTTAAATGAAATTTATAATTTTCAGTTATACTCTCTTTGGTGATTTTCGATGAAAATTTCACGCTTTTTCCTTCAAAAATTGAAAGGAGGATTGGAGAGCGAAAAAAAAGCCAGAACAATTAAATGGAAGAGAAAAGCCAAAAAAATTTCCTACTTTCTCATTTTAAGCTTCTCTGAGCTTGTTTCCTTTTAGTTTTTCGTGCTAACAAACAATATTTTCTAGAATCTGAAAAAGGAAACAGGAGACTGAATTATGATAGAAACCACCTATTTTCAATCAAATGATATTTTCTATTTTATGGGTTTGGGTATTAAAATATCGGAACACTTTATCTAAGTTGTTGTTGAGAAAAGGGGGCTTTAATGGTTCTACCTTTTTTTTCTGATTTAAAAAAAATTCAGTCCAACCCAACACAAAGAGAAGAGGCTATTTACCGTTGGAGCACTTCTGCACGGCTGAAAAAAAATTAAAAAAGAGAAACAAATAAGTAAACTTAGTAGATGGGAAATCTTAAAAGTAAAGTCAGTTGATGTTAAATAATAAATAATGACAAGCAAGAAGATAGAGAATTACATTGCTCTTGTTTCTCTTGCAAGATGAATCCCACCATTTTGAGCCAGAGCCATCAATAACTCCTCCACCTTGGAAGACTACTCCCTCTAATTTTGAAAATGCCAACCATGTTCTTGGGTTCTTTGGGTCCCATTCACCTGGTTCATCTGGTGCAATAATTTTCCCAGCTATCTGTTATCCAGTTAGTTAGTCAAGGAAAATGAAATTCTTAGGAGAGTTTTTCAACCCTAATTTAAACTTGCTTTTTTTCCTAACCTTAGCATCACCATGAAGATTCTTGTTATAGTTAAAGTAACTCCTTGAAAATTTTAGACAAAAAAATAAACACAAACATATGCACCCTAAAAAAACTTCAGATTTTTTATTCTCACCATCATCAACGAAAGCTTTTTCCCAAATATTTGGGGTTGCCTAGACGAATTTTGGTTTATCATTCTACGCTATCAAGGTTCATACCCTCAGTGAGACCATAAGTCCTCATATCTTTTCTCACTACCTCCAGCCATATCCTTTTAGGTCTACCACTTGCTCATTTTGAGCCTTTCACTTGAACTAACTTGTGCCTCCTAACAAGTGTTATACTGGGTTTGCGTTGTGCATGACTGATCTACCTAAGTTTATTTTATCTCATTTTATCGGCTATTGGTATCACATCTACGTTCTCTCGAATGTATTCACTTCGAATTCTATCCCTTTTTGTCTTTCCACTCATCCATCCCAACATCCTCATCTCAGTTACACTCATCCTCTAGGTATATTGTTTCTTGACTGCCCAACGTTATATCCTATAAAGCAAAGTTGGCCTCACAACTGTCCTATAGGACTTACCTTTCAGATTCATTAATATGCGGCGATCACATAAAACTCTAGTTATACATCTTCACTTTGCCCACTTAGCTCTAATTCTATGTACGACATCTTCCTCAATCTCTCCATTTTCTTATGTTATTGATCCAAGATTCTAACAAAGGTAATTTAATCAATATAAATCTCAAAACCTATATATGTGGAGCTTAGAAACTATTTGAATACCACACTTGGGCTCGTATAAAAATATTTTCATGGGAGTTTGTTTACACCAATTGACTGCCAATTGATGTGAAAAGATGTGTTAGGACCAATTGTAGTTACAAAACTCTCACATCTAATCAATTGATATGAAAAGATATGCTAGATAGTCTTAAAAACTTCTCACAATTAATCACATGGAGGAGTTTTTTTATGCAAAAATATTTTCATACAAACCAAATGTGTAAACGTTATGAAAAGAAATGCGGAGAAATACTTATATATCTAGAGAATATCATCGTAAAATTAATCAAATCTAGTTCATTAAAAAATGGGCCAAGGACCCGATGATGGGAAATTCTCTAAAATACACAACCGACTAGATTTTCAGCTTGACAGATTTGGTGCTGACATCCCAAGTTAAAATGGGTGTTATGAGTTAAATTAAGTGGGTGAGATTTGTACAAAGTGTTCGCCTTGTATGGTACAGGCAAGGGGCACTTCTGAATTTCCCTGGGTGATGTATTTCCAGCATTAGAAACCCTATGGCGGCTTGAAAATACATGATCAACTTTAATTATAAAATTTAATAGTTAAAAAATAGTACTAATCGAGCAAATCTATAAACATTTAGAAATCCCGAAAATAGACAATCTAGATATCTTATTACAAGATGCAATATTTTTAAGACTTGAAATTTTTTTTATTGATATACATATTCGAGATGATCAATTGAAATGTTCCATAACTTTGGAACAATCTTTTCTATTGATTTTTGAGGTGCACCTTACTTTTATAGGATAAAGTTGTAACCTTATTTAAACTTTTTCAAACTTTTTCCCGAGGTAAATGAAACGTACAAAAAATTTTCCTCCATCATCGAGCCTAGAGAGAGGGGAGAATACTTTTTCCAAAATCTACACAAAAGTCTTTAGTCTGTCTTTCCCTCACCAAGAGACGGTGTAATTTTTATGCATTGAGAAAATATGAAACTATTGTCCAAAAAAAGAGGGCCGAGAGAGAGAATCCATGTATAATACGTTATAACAATTATTATTATAATAATATTGTTATAATAATAATAATAACAATAATAATAATATTATTATTATTACAGTAATTATAAGAAATAATATTATAATTTCACATGGTAATTACCTGCACAATTATGGTGCCTGAGCAAGGGCCTTTGAATCTGATGGCTTTTACTAAATAAGTACGGCCTTCAGGCACGAGCAAAACTGAGTTACGCGTAGAACAAACTTCCTCCCATGCCTTAATGAAAGCCTGCAAAAATAAGAAATTATGGAAATTAAAACGTTACAAAAATGAGACTGCTCTGAATGTAATTTGGTGGTCCGAAATTTTAAATCCATGCTTATTTGCTAACAATAAAGGAAACATGTCAAACTTTTGATACTGGGAAGAATGTCAAACGTTACTTCCACGAAAGGCCAAAAAAAAAAAAACGTGTACCAAAAAATTGGTTAAAATTTTAAATTTGAAAGAAAATGAACTTGCTTAAGATTATATAAAAAATTAAAAGATTGCAATAATCTGAGATCATTTACTTTTGGTACAAAGATATTACAATTATTTTTAACCATTGGATGTGAAATCTAATAGTTTGAAGTGTTACAACATTTGAGAAAATATATTTAGGACTTTGTGGCTAATTAATAGCACATCTTCAAATTTCCAATTTTACATTTAATGATCAATAATGATTGTAACTTCTTGTATTAAAAATAAATGGTCTCGTTGTAACTTCAAATTGAGATAGATATTACTTCTCAAATTGCGATAATGGGCTACGAATTTATTTTAATGTTAAATACTAATAAGATAGAAGCACGCCACACGCGCTCTATTATTGATCTACAACACTTAATTATTAACCAAAAAGAAAAACCCCTAAAAAACACACTTAACTTCCTTCCAAATGATAAAAACATCCTAGTTCTTGGAAACTCTCAGTAAATAATCGAGAGAGAGAAACATACACTTCATATATCATAGTCTAGAGAAAGAAAACCCTCGCAATTTATGGAGGGACCTCGTATTGCGATGCTATACACACACACAGAGCTTCATCAATGAGTACCTGAGTGTCATCAGTTACTCCATCTCCCATGGCACCCAAGCTCTCCACATTCACAACTGTCCTTCCTCTCCCTTCACTCTGCAAAGTTTGTCTCTCATCCTCTTCTTCTTCGAACCAGTCCTCAACTTTCTCTCCCATGGAAATCCGATATTCATTTGTTTCTTGTGAAATAATTCCATGCATTGCACTCATGCATAGGAGGAGTAGAAGTAATTGAAATGGGAGTTTTTGTTCCATGATTTTTGATGACCCATTTGATATGAATGGAGATGGTATATATAGATTAGCACGGTTTATAGAAATTAAATCATTAAAGAAATTCAATGGGAGTGGGATTTTGTGAAGTTGGCTTGCCTTATAAGCACATGAACCTAATGTGTCATTTTTTGAGTTGTAGTTTGTGTGTTGCCCTTTTCCCATTTTTCCATGCTTTACGTATAAGAGATTAATGGGATTTTGCTTCACTCTTTTCCTTATCCTCAATGTCAACCCCTTTGAGTAACTTTCATGCCTTCTTTTGCATCTCCACAACAAAACAAAAATACCCTACCATATTTACATGAGTGACTTCTATTGTGGTCCCTCATTTAAAGAAAAATAAAATACGACGTTAACACTAAAAAAAGTACAAAAAAAATTGAGGCTTGTGGGGAAATTTATGGAGGGAAATCTATCGATTACCAGGATTTTCATTCCAATTTTATGATAGCCGCTCCCTTCTTTTTTTTTTTTTTAGGGGCATTAAATTGTAATATCTTTGTAGCCCCTTATTCCCTAGCTCCCACTTTTCCCACTTTTTATTTGAAAATCGACATCGACAACTTACTTGTATCAAATAAAAACAATCTCTTTTTTTCCCTCTTTATACATCTATTTTTTGTTTTTTTATTTTTTGGGTAATTCGGTGGAGAATACAAGCCCCTCCCTACCTATTGTTTTCAAAGAGTTTAAAATAGCTGGTAAGCCAGAGACAAGTGATAGTACCTTGCCCATGATGAGCGAAAGAAGAGAAGGAAGATTCAAGAGAGAGTCCTTGTTTAGTATAACTAACATTGTTAATGTCGTGAAAAGGTAAGAAAATAGAAGAGGGAGGGGATGAGGGGTCAACGAATTTAATTTTGCCTTTAAAAGAAAAAAATTGGGAGGGCTACCATGAAATTCGACTAAAAATTGGCGTCACTGCAGAATTTTCCTTAAAAGAATTGTTGAGCACTGCACGACCACCGTAGCACATAAATCCTGTACCCAAAACACTAATTACGGGTTATTTATTTATTTATGTCTTCTTCCTTAGATTTTTCCTACCATCTTCAGCTCATCTTGCTAACCACCGTACAAGATTTTAGAGCTTTGAAACCCAAAACTTAGTGGTCCCTCACAGGGAGGTTTTAAAGTATATATTTAAGGAATATTAGATTTGGAGTAATAGTTGAGCCCCAATCAAATTTTTCCTTTTAAAAATTTGCAGAGACCATGTGTTAAAAGTAGCCTTCAAGACCGCCAAATCTTTCCCATAAGTAATTTAGGAATATATTTTATCGAGAGTATGCTATGGGGGTAAAATCCCACCGAATAACATTAGGACCTCAAATTCTGGGGATATTAATAAAAAAGAAAAAAACAAAAAAACTCCTAAATGTACCCTCTAGGGACTTAAAAACATAATGTCTCTAGATGGACAAGGGGATTGTCTAATTTTTAGAGGGTGAAATCTAAATGTTAGAAAACTCAAATTTCAAAATTTTTGTTTTCAGAATAAGCATTTAGTGATTTTTAAGTAGTTCCCAAAATTTCAAATTGAGAACTAATTGTCTTATTGAGAAAGTAAATGTAAACTATGTTCCAGAGGAAGTATGGTACACGTGCCATGCAGAAAATGTGCAGCATGTTGGCACTATTATTTATGCGTGTCTTTCCCACGGTGTTCATATTTGAGATGGAGTGACACTTAAAATTCTAAGAAAACTAAGTGCTTTCATTCTATGCTAATCTTTCATATTTTTTTTGCTCATAAATGAAAGGATGTTGATAATTATAGGAAAAAGTTTATATAAGGCATCAACCTTATACATAGGAATAAAGTGCACCCTAAAAATTTCACCAAAAGTATTTTTTCAATGTTTGTTGAAAAACCTAAAATTGATAATCTAGACTTCGAGATGTATGTCTATTAAAAAAATATTTTAAGTAATAAAATTAGTGCATCTTATAATACAATATATAGACAGCCTATTTACAAAAAATTTAAATGTTTATAAATATGTTAAATCCACAATAGTTTTGGAGCTTTAAATTTGATAATTACGTGTGAAAATAGATTTTTAGACTGTCTTAAGTGTTTCTACCCCCGAACTACATCTTCTAGTAAAGTTTCGAGGTGTGCTTTACTTTGATTGTTTAAGATTGAGACATTATACAAACTGTCCCTAATTTATACTCACTTGAAGGCAACACCATTTAGACATAGAAATGGTGTCTGTATCTTGATATGCCGTTGTCACCTTTTTCTACTCAAGAGGCCACTCCACCAAGGTATGTCTGTTATATAAGGTTGAGGCCCAAACCAATCAAAGTAAGGAACACCTTGAAATAGTGTTGAAAATTTATTTTTATATCTAATTATAAAATTTAAGAGATCCAAAATATTGTAGATCGAGTAGATCTATGAACACTTGAAAATCTTGAAAAATTGACGGTCTTAGACATTACAATATGCACTATTTCTAAGACTTAAAATTTATTTTTCCTTATGTCCATACATCTTCAGGTTGAGATGATTGAATTGAAGTCTTTTTAGTATAAGAACAACCTCTTCTAGTGAATTTTTGATGTGCACCTTAATTTGATTGTTTAGGGCCTCATCCTTATATAATCATTTTCCTTGAAGGTATTATAATAAATGAATTGTATATTATAAGACTATTTACTTTTTGTACAAGAGGTCAAAATTAGTTTTAGTCATTGGATATGAAATCAAATAGATTGAAGTGGGTTGCAGCATTCGTGAAATTTTCGTTTGGATTATGTGCCCAATCAATGACACATCCTCTAGTGCTCAATTTCATATCCAATGTCAATAATGACTTATTTATTTTCTATAATAAATAAGTCGTATTTATTATGCTTACATGTGTTTTTTTTTTTAGTAAGTGTGAACTTCATTAAGGTAATGAAAAGCACAAAGATAAACAACAAAAGGAAATGAGAAGGAAAAGAAGAAGGGAGAGAAAGCCGGTCCTCTAGAGACCAAGAGAGAAAACAAGGGGACGAACGAATTACAGGAAGAAGGCCAACAAAGACCAAAACCTAGGAGGTAGCCATATTAGCCAAGCGGTCAGCATCCGAATTAAATCCACGTCGTACATGCGAGAAAGCAACATGGAAGTCTCTCAAATGAATTAGAATTTCGTCCATGAGACTGCCAGTATGCCATGGGATTGAATCTGGAGCTAAGCATCATTGATGACATTTGCCAAGTCTCCCTCTATATACACCCTAGGATAGGCAATATTAAGATTCAAAATGCCCATCTTCAACGCTCAGAGCTCTGCTTCATTAACCACATGAATGATTAATGCTTACATATGTTGTCACAACACTACAACATATGAAATCGGTACATCCATGCTTCTCAAATGCCATCATTGCGCTGTATGTAGCATTTTAGTATTCTCATTCTTGGAACTCTGGAAGTGTGTCCAAGTATTGATATGTATTAGACATGCAATACTTCAACAAGAATGAAGTGTCCAAATAACATAGATTAAATGTAACAAAAGAAGGAAAAAATTCATATAACAGCGAGGCCTTAAACAATCAAATTAAGGCTCACCTCAAAAATTCACTAAAAGAGGTTGTTCGATGCCAAAAAATCCTCCAATCGATAATCTCGACCTCAAGATGCATGGACATGAGTAAATATGAATTTCAAGTATTAAAAATAGTACGTCTTGTAATACATTTCTAGACCATCAATTTTCAAAATTGTCAAGTATTCATAGATCTGTTCGATCTCCACTATTTCTGAAGCTTTAAATTTTATAATTAGAGATAAAAGTAAAGTTTTAGGCCATCACAAGATTTGCAATACTGAAACAACATCTTTCGATACTAATTGAAGGTGCACCTTACTTTAATGTTTAAGCATTATACAAACCACACCCTTAAAAAAAATACTCTCTTTTTAAGGGTCCGCATAATAAATTGTGCACGTGCATTGTATGCATTCCACCATCAAGTATTGGATAGGTAGAGATTAGCTTGTGTCCAGCATATGAGTAGGACCTTGGATGGCACATAAGTGTACCTTATGCTATACATGTAGTAGGCAAATCTACATAGGAACAGAGGTGGCTACCTTGGTGTTGCACACAATAGGAATACTTATGAACAAAGTTGTATGTTCCATTCTTTTTTCTTAATATATTAAATATAATTTTATTAGATAAAGAAGCAAAGCTCTAGAAATACAATAATAAATATAGAGAGGAAGAAATAGAAAAATGGAAGCTATACTCCATACTTCCAATGATGATCTACCATGAGCTCCAAATACAATTCAAAACCTAACCTCGCAGAATCCTACACCACCAACTGCCAAAGAGCCCAACTAAACCATACAAAGCACATCCAAAGAAACCTACCACTTGTTTACAGCGCAGATCTGGAAGATTTTTAACTAAAATCTTCCAGATTTGGCACTACAAAATCAGTTAATTAAAATGACAACAGAGATTTGTGGGGATCGGTCGAATTGCAATCTGAAGGCTAATTAACCTAAAGAGGCCTATTTTCATTTAGATTGTAAGTAGTGTTGATTTGATCTTCTTACCAAAAAGGAAGAGAGAGCTATTGAAATCAAACCTAAATAAAATAATTGAAATTATAAGGAAAATAAAAGAAAAGTTTCCAACCTGGGCTGATTGGCCCAAGATGCCTGAAACTCGAACTTGTCGCCCAAATGAAGACCGCATGATGTTTACACATTTTTTCCTTATATTTTCTCTTCAAATTTGACTAATTGAACACTGAAATTAATTAAAATTTGACTAAGAACAAGTTTTGAAGGAAGATTAAGATTTTAGGGTTTAGTTACGTTTATCAAATATTAGGTTTTTGTAGGACCTAAGATTCGAAGGCTAAAATGCTTAAGGTTAGGGTTTATAATTTTCTAAGCTAAGTTATCTCTGATCTAGGGTTTGGAAAATTTTTGTTTGTTCTCTCAAGGGATTAAGGCTTTATAGTTCTAAGGTTTTTCTTTCTAAGAATGGGTGCATCTTCAATGACCTGAATTAGGGTCTTTTTATAGGTTTCTAAGGTGGTTTCAAC